ATGCGCCTTATTTCAAAGTACATTTTTATTGACTTGTCTTTGTCCACATCTTGCATAAAGATCCGATTTTAAACTGACAGGCTGAATCAGGCCAGTATGGTTGGAGAGTAGTAGGACAGTAAATGGGCTCTTCCCCCACGGCCATTGTCAACCATCCGCTCAGCCATAAACTGTGATTCATTTTGTCCTGGGCTGCTGCTGTGTGTTAGCGATGGCAATGGTAAATCTCTTATTTTTGCTTCATGCTCGAGTACACGCTCACACGCTTGCTTCTTCTGCTCTCTCCCTGTGCCCGCGCTCTCCTCCCCCTAATCTCATCCTCCTCTTTCTCCCCATCTGCTCTCACTCCGAATATGGCCTGTTTGAAAGTTGACCAGACATTTGCAGTTGAGGTGTGATGGAATATCTAAAGGTAATAAACTGAAGAACCTTCTCTTTTTGTCAAGGCTGAAAGCAGCAGAAGGCTCAGAACCTCGATTTATGAAAGAGGAAGAAGAGGATGAGGAGGAAGAGGAAAGTAGTGAAGAAGAAGAAGAGGAGCTCTCCCCCGAGGAACAAGGTGAGGCAAGACATCTGCTCGACCTCAACCTCATTATTGGATATAATTGTCATCACTGGGATGGTCAAATGTTTATTCTGTTGCTCAGGCAGAATTCAGCAATTCATTGCTGTTTTTGTGAATGCTCTCTGCCATGTTTTAGGCTAAAATGGATTCTCTCTCGAGGGTAAATGAGTCCTACTAATAATCCATCCATTAATTTTTTAATATCAGCTTGTCCTGACAAAAGTTTCTGACACTGGGCGAGAGGCGGGTTTCACCCTGGACTGTGTTGCCTATGTTGCTTAAAAATTGTGTTGAACCATCACAACATTTTTATTTTATGTGGCCAAATGCATTTGAGATTATACTATCCATGATAAAACATCAGTAAACATTGAATACATTTGACATCATTTAAAAACAAACCAAAAAAAAGGGGGGGCTTAAGTAGCATGAATAAAATGACCAAACTTGGTTTACCGTGCCCAGTTTTGGGTGATTTAACTTCATCATCTTTTTCAGGATTAAAATCTCAGAATGTCGTTACCTGCCATTGGAATTTACTTTCTCCTGGTCTTTCAACAGTTCCTGAAAGTTTGGGGTCTATCTTTTTGCTAAGGTACTGGTTGCTATAGACCTGTGAAAGATGTACACTATGTAACCAAAACTTTCAATGCGTTTTTTCATAAAATTAGGCATTTCAACTCGGCAATATTCAAATTACTGTAACTTTGTCAATTATTGAGGTACTTTCATTCATTTTATATCATTTTAAAGGGATTCAACTTCATAATTAGGATATATGAATATATAACTTTGAGTCTTTTAACCCATTTAGCCAGTGCCAGGCACATATTTTTGTGGAAAAAGAGTATCCTCCAAGAAAAGGTCTTCTCAATTCAACCTTGACTTTTATTTTTCGAATCAAATGTGATTTGTGCTGATGACGTTAATGTAGGAAGATTAAATATTCAAAATGCTGTCATTTTCCATTGTTGTTGTCATCTTCAACACTCTACGGGGATAAGCTCCTCAGGGGGGATCCGTTCTGGAAAAATGTACCGGTAACCTTATTCTTCCATTTCATCATGGCTCATTATGGCCAGATGAACGTGTTGATTGTTTTCTCTTTTTACATTGATGTTTCCCCTTATTTCTCTCCAGCCAAAAAGAAACATTTTCAAATGATGAGGAAGAAGCACTACAATGAGGGCCTCAACATCAAGTTGGCGCGGCAGCTCATCGCCAGCGAGCTCGACGAGGACGAAGACGAAGACGAGGAGATGAGGGATGAAACGGAGGAGGCTGAGGAAATCAGTGTTGACCCACCCCAGGAAGGTAATCAAATATTTGGGTTGGGTTAAAGTTTCTATTGAGCTCCTCATGTAAAGAAACTGTGTTCTCTTCATGCCCTTTGTTTACAATTTGAGAATTTGTGCATAAAGGTTGTTTCAGTCAGTGGAAACACAGCCATATTTATACATGTGACGCTAAGTTGAAAAGTACACATAAATAGATGTGTACTGTTTACGGGCATTGAATCGTAATTGGGTACTTGGATCTGCAGTGTACCAGTTAATCCGACTCTACTCCACAGTGTCCCCTTCTATAAATCTCCTCTTGTATACAGTTAGTCTTCTTACCATCACCAACAGCTCCATGTTGTCATGTAAATACGTTGTTGGCTGTTAGTGTCTTGTTGGATGCAGTTTCCCTCAGTATGTTTGTCTTTGTTCTCTCTAGCCGAATCTCTGGACTCATAGATGAGGTGTCTCTCCCCGCTCCAGTACGTGTGTCGGCTCACCACGCTGACAGACGACGTCGCTGCGCCGCGTGTTTTCAATGTCAGGCCAAGCACCAGACCCCGCTTCACCCATTTAACTCCCCTGAACAGCCAGTAACCTTGAAGTCTCCACTGTTCCAAAAAGTGCAATAGAACCTCAAACCTCGTGGAAATGTCCTTCCCTGACCCCTTGGAGGTCTCCATCGCCCTCCCCGCTGCACTGGCGCGCACTGAATACAGTATACTGAATGAGTGTAAAAGGATTTGAAGGCCTTCGAGGAAAATGAATGGGACTTCCCTCAGGCACGGCAAAATCCCCTCTAATGACTGTGCTTGTACCGGCTGCAGTTCAGATGGACTTCAAATCTGTGACTCACTGCTCTGGTTTGTTTCGATGTTGTTGACAGTTTTAATTTGATGCCCATAACTGCTAGACACTGTGGATGTTGCAGTGTCAGACAACCGGTCGAAAACAGACTTTTATAAAAGCAAATTAACCAATCCTGATTTTTTTTTTCTCTTGATTTTTGGCTCTTTACAAAGCACCTAACCTCAATTATAATTTTAAGAATATCTCTCTTCTCCAGAGTGACCTTTTAACTCAAAAATGAAAGATTTACAATCGTGGTTTTCTTTAAAGAAGCACTTTTTCATGGATTGTTTTTTTTTTTTTTTCCTTCCCCTGCGCTTCAAACTGATGAGCATAAAAGACGAGACTGATTCAGGCTCCAGCTCCCTGTTGTTCTTGGGTGGAGTGAAAATGTTATCTAACATTCAAGGACGGAACAGTATTAAGTCACTCAAACAGTGAACTAATGCATGTCCATAGGAAGTCAGATGTTGGGGGAATGCTGTGTGTTTCTTTCACAAGGCTCTCTTGTCACCTTGAATGAATGCTATGTTCACTACGCTTTGATAGTTTGGACTTTCCACAACGTCTAAGCTTCAGTTTACAGATTTTAAATGTAAATTCTAATGAGGAACATGCAATGAATGACCTAGTTCATTTTGTGCTTTGCTAATAAATAATGTTCAAGCAGGAGGAAAAAAAACGATGCTACTGATGAATAAATTAATAAATGTTGGCTTTCTTATGGGCTCCTAATATAAAGTTATCATTTCAAATATTGGGGAAAAGGTTGACAGTTAAGTATGTCGGAGCCCTGACAGTGTCTTGTTGCATTAATTTTTATCGTTGACCCATTAAATTCTTGTTGTGACTGGTGATATTCTGAACATTGTGATATGGAAATACAGTACTGAACATCTTGACTTCTGCAGACTCACCCTTGCACTTTGTTCTTGTCATTCTGAATTTAGCATTTTCCATTCTTGTGCCACAATGGATTAATCCGTCGACCATTTGCACAAACTGGGCTCAGACAAAAAAAATGTGATACCCGAAATTTTTATTTGTAGACATGCTCACTTTTTAGTTGAATCAAATGTAGTGTATCATGTTAATTTTTTTGTCTAATTTTGTCCACTGATTTGCTTGTTTGTACTTTACTTATTTTGCAATGAGGATCCAAACTACTATCGTGAGTAGGTCCCAAAACTATGGACGCTAATTATTTTGTTTTCACTTTCCATGTTATTCATCACTCAAATCCAACTCCGCAAAAGTTGTACAATTAATTAGACATATAATAGCATGTCTAATGTCATACAGAATGACAGAAAAGACAACGTAGTAAGTCCAATTTAGCTTTTTCTTTGGCCTTTGTGTTTTTCATTATTACCTCAAAAAATGGTACTAGAGAGTGCAAAGTGACAATAAGCATGGAACTTGACATGGAAATCGTTGTGACTTGGAAAGTATCTGACGGCTCGGTACAATGACTGATAGAATTAACCAACACCGACACATGTAATCTATCTACCCGACAGTTGGTGGCACTGCTCAACATCATATTGGATTTGTTCCTCCGTACTCGGAGCAACTAATAGGATAAAAGTCACGACCGAGTTCATGCTTGGATTACCAACGTTCGCTCTCGAAACTGCAATTCGTAAACTCCCTTCCATGCCATGCAAATAATTGCATTCAGTGCTTGATTATATATATAAATACATTTAATGGAGACAATCCCTTTCATGGATTCAATCGTTTTCAATTTGTACAGCGCAGGATCTTACAGCAAGGAAAGCGCTTGCTTGTCCCGGGAATCATCAAGAGTAATTCTAACGGATCAGGAAGGCTGTCACTGGGTGCAAAGATTACAAATACGGGAAGTAACAACTCACTCGTAATGCGCGCGCGCGCGCACACACACACACATATGTATAATTGCATATACAGCACACACACATATATACTAACAGCCAGTGGCCATTGCAAGCTAGGTCTTAGCACAGAGGTCACCAACCTTAAAAAAAAAAAAATATATATATATATATATATAAATTATTTGGGGGGGGCAATTCAGCAAGATTTGATTACTATTACAGAGCTGTTAACTTGGTTTTTGTCATTTTCCTCATTTTTGTAAATTATTTTTCCCCGTTCACCAATTAAAAAAACATATATTATTTGTTTGTGACTCAATCTCGCATGTTGTTTATTTGTTATTTTTTTCAAAAGATATTTTATTGAATGGCGTCTCGATCATTTGTATCGTGGATTAAAACATACGCACTGTCTCGCTGCGCCTGTCGTTTGCGTCGCATCCCGCTTTACGTGTATAGACGATCTCCGTACGAGTCCATAGTATGTGCGTCGAAGAAAAACCTCTCTCTCCCACTGGCTTCTATGAGTGAGCTTTCCGACACTTTCCGCTCTCGTGACCGACTGCCGTGTCCGAAATAGTCGCGTTCGGTTCCGTCCTTGTCGCTCTCCACTTGCGTTCGTTTATGGTTACATTTGTGCCTCTTGTAAACCGTAGCTGCTGGTCTTTTGAGGCTAGCTGGCTAGCAGAGCCTTGACGGACGGAGGAGGCAGGATCCAGCTGGTCGGACAGCGCAGCGTAGCTCCACACCAACGTTAGCAAAACAAGCTAATTAGCCTCAAAGGCTCACCGTGGATTACTGTCCACAATCAAACGCCGATCCGGAGTTTAAGGTTCACGAGTACGAGGCAAAATGAAGATAACTGTGGATTTCGAGGAATGTTTGAAGGACTCCCCACGGTTCAGGTGAGCGATGACAACCGATTGTGTGTTTGGGTGCGTGCGTAATGTGAGCCCATTTCCCCCCAATGTGCGTTTGACAATATTGTACAATTTTTGTGCTCAGCACTTTTAAAAAGCATGGTCTTTGACGACTGCCACCTTGCTATTTTTGGTCTCTCAAGAAAGCTGAAGCCAGCCAAGCAGGCAGGGAAAACAAACTCACAGGGCAATATGTTGCAATCGCCATCGGAGCAAGTCGGTCTCTTTAATGTTGATCAATTATGTAAAGAGGACCAAGCAGATTATATAGTAATAACTGATTAAGTAGCCCCGTGTTAACAAACCTTAATCATTCAGAGTGACTTTCTGGTGTTCTCATATTATACCATAATGGACACTAGCGCCTTTTACTGTGGCTACTTCTCAGCTCTTTTTTAGATTCTATTTCATTGTTTTGATATGCTTAAAGGAAGTTAGATTCCACTGAGTGGAAAAAGATCTCTCAGTAAATTATCCAGTCAACCAAAGCATTCACAGTAATCACACTGTGCATATTAATGCCACCTTTGGGTCTCCTGTTTGCCTCTCAAATTCCCACAATGTGTCATTCATGTCATTATATCACCCATCCTGTATGATGTCACCCTATTTGATCAGGGAGTGATCTTTGCATTTCACAGCACCAAAGAGTTATTCTATCTATCTATCTATCTATCTGGATTGTGATAGCGGGATTATGTTCTTTGGCTGCAGCCAAAGTTTCTTTCAGTGTGTAAAACCTGTGAAGTGTGTTTCAAATTGGGATTTTTAGATCTAAACTTGCTTATTTGCTCTCATCTAACGTTTCCCAGATATCTGAGAAACCGCCCCTTTACATTTCGGCCTCCTCATTTCGTGACACTGCAACTTCCGCTTTCCTCATAATAATGAGGAACAGATGTTAAAGATTCATTTGTTGAGCATTTTAGCAATGGGGGATGATAATATATATATATATATATATATATATATATATATATTAGGGGAGTGTCATGAACTGTTGTGCTTCAAGTTTGTCTTCAAACAATTATTTAATTTCCTTTTCAAAACAGAATGGTTACATAATTTTTTGACACTAAGAACGTAAAATACGGAATCATTGCAGTCCATTTGATCTTCTCATAAGTGAAGTTTGATTTGATCTCTCAAACCTACTCGGCGCGCAGCCATGTCATCTTATACATCTTTATTTAAATAGTGCTTTCACAACAGCTGCAGCTGTAACAAAGACTTGGGTGTTATTGTTTATCAAAGACTGACATGAATAACAAGTGATGAAGTCATACCCGTAAATTGTTTGCCACTGAAACCACTGACACCTTTGATACATCTCCTCGATTGTTCGTGTATGAAAGTGCAGTTGTAATTACATTTGAATGGAAAGTTGAGTACGAACAATCCTTTCCAGAATGTAGGTTAATCACTCTCTTTTGTGTGGATTTAATAGGAATTGAAATTCAGAGGTCCTTCGTTTACGACAGAGTTCCATAACTTCCTATTGATGCGACCTAACCTGAATTTGGACACACGTTGAACATTTTGAAAACCAGTGGCAGTAAAGTCATAATAACTGTAAAAACTGCAGGTATAAGCTGTTTTCTGACAATGGAGGTGTCTCTGAGGCTGGTTAGTGAACATCCAGTCACCCACGCTGCTGCTTTCACCACCTGCTCCCTCCTGTCCATCACAATATATCTGTCGCGCAGCAACTTGTACAACAGTAGGTCAGGAGGCTCTTCATGGTGGAAGTTTATTAGCAGGTGTCGGGCGGGCAAGGCTTGACATAGATGGTGTACCAGGTGAGGTCTGCTGAGATGTCGACTCTACGAATTAGAGGCTCTCCACCTTCTCGCCATTGATATAGAGGACGGTTGGATTTCCTGAAGTCCATCATCACCTTATTCATCTTTGCTGCTATTATACCATTTCCTGAGATGCCTGACCACCTCCCTGTAGGCTGACTCTTTGTTGTCAGTCCTATATAGGAGGTGTCATCAGCAAATTGATGATGGTGTTGGTGGGATGAATGGAAAAGCAGTCATATAAAACAATCCAATGAAAACACTAAGTATGGCGCTAACTGAGCATCTCTGCTTGTGCCACGTAACCACATCGTCTTACGCTGCCCAGAAAACTAGTTCATTGTGTTCTGTTCCTAAGATCGAAACAGGACGGTTTTAATCTGTTCTGGATTCAAAATGTGGCCATTATAAGTTTCTCTTTCAAAATAATAAAAAAAGAATTCAACTACTGTTAATTTAAGGGCTGCAAACATTAGATGAACAATTCAATTTGCTAAAAAAAAAAATAAAATAAAATAAAAAAACCGAACCAAATTTTGGCTTCAAGGTACTGCAGTCATAATTTTTCCACATGCAGGCTCACGCACCCCTCTGCAGAAATACTTTGGTGCGATGGTTCCAGGCCAGGAGGGAAGATTGTGTAAAAAAAAAAAAAAGAAAGCCAATGTTCAAAGTCTCGAAACATGTCACACTTAGAAAGGAAGAAGACAAAGTGCATCGTGGCTTACGCAACAGCATATCTACAATTGCTGACACAAGGTAATGTAAATATCAGTTTACTTAAAATAGGGCAACACCACTAGTTAGAACATATTGTAATGCTTCCACAACTGGTCAAGGATAGACACAGTCGCCAGTGCACCTTTAGTTGCTTAATTGAACCAAGCTAAAATAAATGCATCATAAACTTATCACGACACAAGATGCAATGGCCACAGCTTATCCCCAGGGACTCTAAACGGAGAATGCCTAACGTGAGCTGACAACAGCCAGCAACACTCATTTGTCACTCACTAGGCCAGGTGGAAGTGGAAAGCGTTAGGTGACTAACGTTCAGATGCATGTTATTGCCTGAGTGCAGATTAGAGGAATTATTTAGCTACAAATTATTAAGCGTCTTTTGGTTCAATTAAATGCTTCAACAACAATAGTATTTTCGATCGCTCTCATCATTTTATGTACCGTATTTTCCACGCTAAAAGGCGCACTGGATTATGAGGCGCACCTTCAATGAATGGCCTATTTTGTCATTTTTTCTTACAGTATAAGACGCAATCTACAATGCATCCACTAGATGAAGCTACGCTCAAGGGAACACCAACAGAACGATCAGATGTCAGTAAAACTTATTTAATAAAGCAGCGACACAGTTCACTTAATCAACAGCAAGTTATAACATTGACTCGTTAACGTTGAACTCTCTTGCCGCTGCTCTTTTTCCGTGTTCAACTGCACAATAAAATAAAAAAACCGAACCAAATTTTGGCTTCAAGGTACTGCAGTCATAATTTTTCCACATGCAGGCTCACGCACCCCTCTGCAGAAATACTTTGGTGCGATGGTTCCAGGCCAGGAGGGAAGATTGTGTAAAAAAAAAAAAAAGAAAGCCAATGTTCAAAGTCTCGAAACATGTCACACTTAGAAAGGAAGAAGACAAAGTGCATCGTGGCTTACGCAACAGCATATCTACAATTGCTGACACAAGGTAATGTAAATATCAGTTTACTTAAAATAGGGCAACACCACTAGTTAGAACATATTGTAATGCTTCCACAACTGGTCAAGGATAGACACAGTCGCCAGTGCACCTTTAGTTGCTTAATTGAACCAAGCTAAAATAAATGCATCATAAACTTATCACGACACAAGATGCAATGGCCACAGCTTATCCCCAGGGACTCTAAACGGAGAATGCCTAACGTGAGCTGACAACAGCCAGCAACACTCATTTGTCACTCACTAGGCCAGGTGGAAGTGGAAAGCGTTAGGTGACTAACGTTCAGATGCATGTTATTGCCTGAGTGCAGATTAGAGGAATTATTTAGCTACAAATTATTAAGCGTCTTTTGGTTCAATTAAATGCTTCAACAACAATAGTATTTTCGATCGCTCTCATCATTTTATGTACCGTATTTTCCACGCTAAAAGGCGCACTGGATTATGAGGCGCACCTTCAATGAATGGCCTATTTTGTCATTTTTTCTTACAGTATAAGACGCAATCTACAATGCATCCACTAGATGAAGCTACGCTCAAGGGAACACCAACAGAACGATCAGATGTCAGTAAAACTTATTTAATAAAGCAGCGACACAGTTCACTTAATCAACAGCAAGTTATAACATTGACTCGTTAACGTTGAACTCTCTTGCCGCTGCTCTTTTTCCGTGTTCAACTGCACAACCGATCGCCTTAAGTTTGAAATCTGCGTTGTCAGGATGTCTCGAGCAAGGAGCCACTTTGGGGTCGAAATATTACCGTAATGACCATATACAAGGCGCATCGGATTTTAAGAAAATGGAAGGCTTTTAGGTGCACCTTTAATTGTGGTAAATGTCATTTGCTTCTCATGAATGCTAATGCCATTGTTGACGCTAATGTGAAGTTGAGAACACTATCCAGCCTGTAACTTCAATGTCATTGTAATGTATTTCCCAGAATGCTGTGCAGTCATGGCCACATTCATCCATGACTTTGGTGACCTTTAGCCCGATTAGTAAAGTCATCACTTGGTTTTCATCCCGCTACCGCAGTTTTATCACGTGTTCGGATGAGGCACAGATTATTTACGGACAGTTTTCCATTCATACCATGTTTCACTCATTTTTTTTCACCCCTCCCCACACAACAGCTTGTTTTTGGCCATAGAGGAGGACAAAGCAGAAGAGAATGGATGAAAACATCATCCATATACCAGTAAAGTGGAGCAGCTTTCACTCGCTCAACATCTGTTTCCATTTTAGTGTTTGCTTATGACTGCGCCAGAGAATATGGAGCCCCCAAAGAGAAAGGCTTGTTTTCAAGTGGTAATTTGGCACAATCCTCTATTTTTTTTTCTTTTTTTTTTTTTTGGGACTCATCCTCATTTGGCCTTGGAGCTGTCTATGTTCATAAACCATTCTCTATTTTTATTTTTGCCATCCTAAGTTGACAAATTTATGACATGCACACAGCAGGCAATACTATCCATGCTTTGCTGTCCTGACTATAATGAGGATCAAAACTTCTTCCACAGAATAACTGTTTGGTATTTACGGGTGAATTAGCATATTAATTTATCAATGGTAAATTGTCAAACATTTAAAATGTTTTATTAAAATGTCTTAAGTGTTGTGTTGAAACGGGCACTTTGTCCAAGTTTCCAAATATGGCATTGTCATTTGATTTTTCTTTTCATTGGAGGTGGCGGGGGAG